AAAATTTACCATTAATGACACTTCGCACATTCCCATTGTTGTGTAACCATCACCACTATCTAGTTGCAGAACATTTTCATCAGCCCAAGAGGAAACCGGTACTCATTAGCAGTCACTCCCCATTCTCCATACCCCGCTGCCCTTGGCAACTGCTAAATTCACTTTCTGTGTCTTTAAATTTGCCTATTTTAGATATTTCATATCAATGGAATCTTATGTGGGCTTTATGTCTGGCTTCTTTCACTTAGCATAATGTTTTCAAGGTTCATCCATGTTGTAGCACATACCACTGCTTCATTCCTTCTTACTGTCTGATAATATTCCATTGCACGACTACACCACATTTTGTTTATCCATTTACTAGTTGATGGGCATTTGGGTTGTCACCTTTTGGCTACTGTGAATAGTGCTGCTGTGAATATTTGTCTATGAACTCTTGTTTGAACACCTGTTTTCAATTCTTTGGGGTATACACCCAGGAGTGGAATTGCTAGGCCATACGGTAATTCTGTTTAACTTATTGAGGAACCCATGCATTTTAAAAACACTTAAAAATTGGACAAAATCACCTACCAAAGAAAGAACATGGCTCATACTTGCCGAGTGGAGACAGGGAGGATGGCGCCGGAAGAGCTAGCCTCAGGCTATTTGTGTGCCGTGTGTGTGTGTGTGTGTGTGTGTGTGTGTGTGTGTGCGCACGCGCGCTTGTGTGTGTGTGTGCCTGTGTGTGTGTGTGTGTGTCTCGGAAGGACAGAGAGAAAGCAGGCAAGCGGGCGGAGACAGAGCTCCAGAACTGCTACAAAAGAGCACAGAGACACCCTCATCTGACGGAACCAACGCAGTCCCCCACACCATGAAGGACTCTAATCTTGGGTTACAGGTCAATGGCAGAATGCAAGAGAAAAACTGTAAGAAGAAATGTCATCAGATAGGCATGACCTACACCCACATAACAAGTTTCTCCCCCACAGCTCGCAGGAACGGCAGGAACATGCTCATTTAACTGTGCTAGGAGGCTACTGAAGTATTTTATGTCCACCAATGCCACATCAATCTAAAACTATATCTTCTTTTTGAAATGGCAAATGCCCTTTCTGGTCTGTAGGATGTCAATTCATTAGTACATTGCGTTTTTTTTTTTAACTGCTCCTTCTTGATCCTCAGGAGATTATTTATTTTGGTGTGGGCACTGATTTGAACATTTCTCTGAAAGGAGAGGAACACAGCACAGACTGCCACCTCTGCCCTCCTGGTGAGCTGTATGGGGTGAAGCTTTTCTTCTGTTCTCAGAGATGAGGCTAGGCACCACGGGCTCCAAATGCAGGTAAGTTAGATTTTACTGAGTCTGAAGATTGAAGGACTCCACAGCACATTACTGAGAAAGGCTGTATAACAAAGAGATTTTTAAGACTCTGTTTTTCTGAAGTGGTTGAGGTCAGAGATCAGCAAAATGCAGCCAGCAGACCAAATTCAGCTGGCAGCTGCTTTCACAAATAAAGTTTTACTGGAAGACAGCCATGCCCATTTCTTTACGTGTTGTCTGTGGCTGCTCTCATGTCAAAACAGAAGAGCTGAGTAGTTGTGACAGAGGCCAGATGGCAGGCAGAACCTCAGTATGTCCTCTCTGGCCCTTTAAAGAAAATGTTTGCTGAGCCCTGGTTTAGGGTAGGGCTCCAAACTAATGACCCGCAGAGCTAGTTCCCATTCCTGACCTTACCCCTCAGCCTCAGACCTGTGTACTCCCTGTTCCACCTGCCCCGGGTCATCTCCCCCTTGCAGCCCTCCAGGCACCTCCACTCGCCCTGATCCATCACTTCGTCTCCTCCTGAAACCCGCGCCTCTCCAGCTCCTTCTTCTTGGTGCCACACCAGCCATCCAGGCCCAGGTTGGTACTCAGAGGCCCTTAGCTCCTCCTCTACTTCTCTTGTTCCTCTCATGGCCTGCATCCCCAAGCCCTGGCAACCCTCACCCCCATCCATCCTCCCTCGCATGGACCCTTCTCAAAGCCACAGGTTTCCTGACCTTGGTCTCTACCTCCTCTGATCAAACCACCAGTTATCAGACTCAACCTAGACCTAACCACATCCCTTCTCAGGGTTCACCATGGCTGCATGGCTCAGACACCCCTGGGTCTGAAATTCCTGGCTCTGCCTCTAACTTGCTGTGAGGCCTTAGGCAAGTCACTTGGCCTGTCTGGACCTCCTTTCCCCTACGTGAAAACTTTCTACATTAAGGGCTTATGATAAGGTCTGCAAAGCACCTAGAACCATGCCAGGCACATCTGAGCAGGTCTACGACAGGAGCACTTACTGTATTGGCGGTGGTTAGTATTTCGCTGACAGTTCTTTGCCTATAGGTTCTGCTTATATCCCTTAGAAGGGATAAAACATCCTTCACATTAGGAGGGAACACATCTCCTTGTCCTCTTCGTGTGTAGGCACCTCCTGTAGGGTAGGTAACACGCCTAGGCTCTCTCCGCCCTCTTTTTCTTGTGAGTTGAACAGAGGGAACTAGCCATGTGCAGCCTGGCCCCTTCTAGGTTCCCTCTTTGAAATCTGGCTGCCTGTGTATTAAGGACTATTCCGTCCTGCCCTCCTGGCCATGTGGAAAGCTCTGTGAGGCTGCTCTGTGGCTGCAGGGGGAGGCCAGCCTCAGTCCCCTCACCTGTAAATCCCCTGGCCTGGGGGAGTCAGCAAGCCTCCCCCAGTATTAGAGTTTGCTGTTACCTAAGCTCTTCCAATAAAAACACTAAGATCTTCATCCGTCTGACCTGTGAACATTTCATATGACGGGAAAAGAAGTGTTATTTATTGACCCTCTGCCCCGCGAAGCCTAACATCTCTGGCAGCCGGTGCGGTCCTCTCCAGGCACCGTGTGCCCTCACACACCACGTAGGACTTGCTTGTCATTCTTAAACGGCCCAAACGCTATCGTGCCTCTCTCCTGGGGGTGTGCCGTGCTCAGCCTGGAATGCCTTTCCACCCAGTGGAAATGTGACCTCTCTCTACGCCTTCAAGTCCCCAGTCTCCACCTCCACCCTCATGCCCACTGTGGTGCCCTCTGCACTTTAAACAATCAGTGATTAAGACACTCCGTTGTGATCTAGTTAATGTCTCACACTTCTATCTCGGGAGTGTGCACGCTGGCGGCTTGATGGTAGGGACCTTGTTGCTTACACCTCGTAGTCTCTGGGGCCAGCATGGTGCCAAGTGTACAGTGGGCAGTTCACGCCCATCTGCTGAGCTCGAACTGAGCAAGAATGGGCGCCTGACCCAGCACCCGTGTCCTCCACCATCACGTCTCCATGGTCTATTTAAACCCCAGGTGGGGTGATTTCCCTTCATCAATCTTTATTCCACTCCTCTCTCTTCCTCTGTCTCTCTCAATTCAGAGGAGTACCGTTGACCCTGAAACAACATGGGTTTGAACTGCATGGGTCCACTTATATGAGGATGTTTTTCGGTAGTAAAACTACAGTACGACAGTCTGTAGTTGGTTGAATCCTCCGCATCCAAGGATGTGGAGGGCCAACAATGCATATGAAGCCCTGCATTGTTCAAGGGTCAACTGTATTTACATATTATTAAAAAACATACAAGTGGGCTTCCCTGGTGGCGCAGTGGCTGAGAGTCCGCCTGCCGATGCAGGGGACACGGGTTCGTGCCCCGGTCTGGGAGGATCCCACATGCCGCGGAGCGGCTGGACCCGTGAGCCATGGCCGCTGAGCCTGCGCGTCCAGAGCCTGTGCTCCGCAACGGGAGAGGCCACAACGGTGAGAGGCCCACGTACCGCAACAAAACAAAACAAAACAAAAACATACAAGTCACTTCTCTCTAAATGTGCAATCCACCGGCACGCAGAGAAAGCTCTGCCCAGGCTGATCCCGAGAGGACCTCTCACCTGAGCAGAGAGCAGGCTGGTGCTCCTTGGTCTGCCCTGCAGGAAGCTGAAGCCTGGGGAAGGGACTTCACCAAGGCCCCTTTGAAAGGAGACAGTCAAAGAGCCAGGTTCCCGGTCTGGGGCTAAGCTTGGATACTGATGATTTTCCATGCTGGTGTGCAGATGTCTGGGGCTGGGGGCCTTACTCGGGTTGTGGGGTGGAAAACACATTGGACCCTCACCCCAGGTTGCTGGCTCTGCCTCCCTCTTACCAGCTCCTGCCCACTTGGATTGAATCAGCACTGGACAAGAATTACGTTAACAGGCAGCATCACTGTGTGGTCAACACCTACTCTGCTTTTCTTTGCTTCCTGTGCTCCTGAAGTACTGCCTCCTTGCCCGCTGGGCCATGAAGGGCAGGCCGGCCAGCCTTCCTCGATTCTTAGGGCTGGGCTGGGCAGGTAAGCCAAGTGAAGGCCTCTCTTGGGGCCTGGCCGCACGATGAGATCGGGAGGAGAAAGGCTCTCACTGGACTGAGGTTTTCAGCCTTGGATGGACATTGGAATCACGTGGCAATTTTCAAAAATACTGACATCTGTGTCCTACCCTGGATATTCTGACTTACCTGCGCTAGGTGCAGCCTGGCCTTCAGATTTTTAAAAGCTGTCTAGGTCATTCTAATGCATTGCCAAGGTAGGAACCATTGACCTAAGGCATTCTCTATTTCAGAGTCTGCCAGAGTTTTGAATTGGGGGTTTTGGGGTTCTTCCCCAACTATTAATGCAAAGCTCCTGAATCCCATTTTGCTGTTGTCTTGGGGCGTTTAGCTCCCCAGTCAAAAGCCCCAGGGAGGGGAGGGACCAGTGGTAAATTTAGACATCTAAATCCGACGCCACATAACTAAACTTGGTGTTGTGCAAAAAACCTCTAAATGAACCCTTGGAGATTAGGGCAAATAAATGTTCTGAAACTTCCAGAAGTATGAACATCACTGCATCCCTGCAATAGTACGGTGAGATCCTGATGTCACACTTTACACAGCCTGTGGCCAGTCAGTGCACCCAAGCACCTAATTCTGGAGGGTCAGGGAAAACCAGTAGTCTTATCAAGGTGGTACTTACTTCTGGGGATCTTGCTGGGGTAAATCTTCTGGCATGGTTTATACTCATCCGGAGGAGGAAAATCTTCCATAGAATGGAACGTGAATTTAGACTCAAAGTCATCTGCACACACGGAAATGCCAAAATTATTCTGGTTACTGTGAGGACCCAAGTTTTGGTCATTGCCAGGAGCAGACAGGTTTGCCTGCCCAGTGCAAGATTTTAATGGCAGGGCTATTCCCCCCTAAGACATCCATTCACCTCTTAATTTTTACTATTTAGCTGGGGCAAGGGGGGATCAGGAAAAGTGAAATCATAGACTCTCCCCATCATCCACCTCAACTTACTTCAGCCAGCATCTTAAGGAAGCTTCTAAAGGGAGCAGAAGTGCCACAGGCCTATCCAGGGTCCAGAGTCAGAGGTGGGGAAACTGGCAGCAACAAGGGACCAGCAAAGTCCCTGTGGCCTGAAGCCCCTCTTGTGTCGCTGGGGAGGACTCTGGCGGGGAGAGGTGGACAGAACGGGAGTCCTCAGCCTGGCTGGTGGGAAGGAGCACAGCCTGTGTGCATTTGGGGACCTGGGCATCCTAAAGCAAATGGGTTCTGCCCTGAGCTCCTGATGGCAAGAGGAGAGGGGTCTTGTGGCCCTTTCATGAGTTGAGTCCCTGCTTTGTGATCTAGGCTTTGTGTGTGACAGTAGCTCAGCCCACAAAGGGATCCAAAGACTTTTGGTCACACCTGACCCCAGATGACTTTCCCATCTCAAGAAGGTTGGAGAGTGGGTTCTGGAACCTCCCTGAAAGCCTCAAAGAAACCTTATTTAACACAACCTGTAGGTTGTTCTGTGCTAGAGTGAGCCCCCTGTTCTTGTGAAGCACACACCCTGAAATGACGGCACTGTGGGCTGGGAGACTGCACCCCCGTCCCTGAGCCAGGGGAAACCATTTCCTCACTGACAGCCCTGCTCACCAATGATGTGCAGGCTTCCGTTCCGCAGCTGACTTCCAGGCTGCTGGGTCAGGGTCCAGGCTGGGGCCTGCTGGCTCCTGCTTGAAAGCTCCGTGGTGGGTGACCTCGCGGGGGGTGCTGGGGGTGGGTTCAGCTTTCCCCCACTGGTCGCTGACAGAGAAGAGGACAGTGTATTCAGATACAGGCCTTCAGATAGGGCATGGTGGATGCTATAACCTTCTGTGAGAGGTGAGGTATTGAGATCTTTGGATATAATATGATACGGTGATAAAAAGGCAGCCTCTGGAGGCAAGCTGCTTGGGACTGAACCCCAGTTCTCCTGCTGGGATAATAACACAACCTCTTTGTGCCTCAGTTTCCTCATCTATAAAATGGGAATAATAATATACATACCTCCTGGGTTTGTTGAGAGGGTTAAGCGAGCTGATTTAATTCAAGTCGCATGTAAAAATAGATAACTAACGAGAACCTACTGTATAGCACAGGGAACTCTACTCGATGCTCTGTGGTGAACTAAATGGGAAGGAAATCCAAAAAAGAGGGGATATATGTACACGTATAGCTGATTCACTTTACTGTACAGTATAAACTAACACATTATTATAAAGCAACTATACTCCAATAAAAAAAGAAAACAATTCAAGTGGCACGTAGTAAGTGTTCAATAAATATTATAGCTGCTGTGATAATATCAGCCCTCATCATCAGAGGGTACAGTCCAAAGAAGTGGACCCACTGCAGAGTCCTGTGCAAGGGAAGGACTGTGTGCAGGTGAGGCTCAGAGCGGCGCTAGATGAGCAAGCTGTCGGGGGCTTGCTCCTGCCCCTGGGTCCGCTCACGCTGTTCCCCTGCACTGCAGACCCTCGTTTCTCCTTCCAGTCAATCTAAACCCTACCTGCCCACCAGGGCCCAACTCAGATCTCATCTACTTCATCAATTCTTCCCTGATGACCTCTGTGGGAGGCTCACTCTCCTTTGCCAAGACTTTTTTGTATGACCCATTTGGCAATTAATAACCCGCTGCCTTGGCACATCAACCCAGGTACTTGACTCTTCACTTCGCTCTCGAAGTGATGACAACTGCTCCTTTATCATCTGTGCCAAGATGTTCACAATTGCAACCTCTTACTCTTCCTTGCAGTTGGCCTGAAGCAGAAATTACCCTCATGTTGTTCACGGAAAACCAAGTTGCACGTCCAAAGACGCAGTGAAAGGGGCCAGACGAGCATCCACTCCTGGCCTCGGCTGTGCAGCTCTGGAGCCTGCAAAGGCACCCGGCCGCCGCAGCTCTTCTCCTCCCCGAAGGCCATCAGAGCACCTCCCCTCTCAGCTCCACTCTCTGCCTTTCTCCTTTCCCAGTCCCCTTCCTCTCCCTTGCTGGTCTTCCCTTCCTCTGTACCAGAATCCACTAGGATTTACTTGCTCCCACAAGCAGACTAAAGAGGCTAAGGGGCTGCTGACCCCTCTTCTGGGTGAAAAGCTGCCCCCGCACTTGGTTAGAGGGAAGGAAAGGAAATCACGCTGCTGAGCCCCGGCTCCTTGCAAAGCACTTCAGGCACACTTCCTCACTTAGTATTCATAACAGTCCTATGTGAAAGGTGTTTTATTGTTATTATTTCCATTTGTCAAATTAGAAAAAAGCAAGGTTTAAGGGCATTAAAAAAAGACTGGCCTAAGGTTACACAGGAGTGGGTGGGAAGGCAGGATTTGAATTCAGATCTCTCTGAATCTAAAGCATTGTTTTTTTTTTCACCACATCTTGAACATTTAAGAATCACAAGCGTCAGAAGGGGCTCATGAGCACTAATGCTGGACCTTATGGTGGTCAGTCAGCTGAAAAGAGAATGATTAAAACCTTATCTCTTGTGACCGAAAGCCTTAAAAATATTCTTGCTTTTTGTATCAGGAGTTCCCTTGCAGGAACCTGTCTTTAGAAAAAAATAATCCAAACTGTAGACTACCACTGCTATAAATGTATTTCCTGCAATATTATTCATAATAACAAAAAATGGAATCAACTTAAATATCTAATGCTGGAAATATGGTATATATCAATGATCATATTAATATGCTTACAGATACATTTAACAATTTGACAAATATCTAATTATATCAAAATTGCTTTTTTAAAATTTTTATTTTATATTGGAGTATAGTTGATTTACAACGTTGTGTTAGTTTCAGGTGTACAGCAAAGTGATTCAGTTATACATTTACATATATCCCTTCTTTTTCAGATTTCCCGTATAGGTTATTACAGAATATTGAGTAGAGTTCCCTGTGCTATACAGTAGATCCTTGTTGATTATCTATTTTATATATAGTTGTGTATTCAAAATTGCTTTTACTATAATACTAAATAAAAACAGAATAGAAGATAGTATCTACAAAATAGTATTAATAGTAACCCTGTAAATATGTAGATATATTCAGAAAAAAGAGAAAGGAAACATATCCAAATATGACAGTTGAGTGATGTTATTATGTGTGATTTCAATTTTTTTCTATTTTCTCTACAATGAGCTTGTATTATTTTTAATTCAAGGGCATACATTTAAGAAACTTTCTGCATCCAAAGATTTTCTGAAAAACCAAAGAGTATGTGTGTGTATGTATAACTGTGGATGTGTGTTGGGCTGTGTGTGTGGATGTGGGTGTTCATGAGTGTGTGCATATGTTTATGAGTGTGTGTGTGTGTGTACACGGGTGTGTGTGGATGTGTAGCGTGCTTTCCATTTAGAAGGACACCAAAGGTGATCGAAGCCTCATCACTTCATGGAAATCACAGTCATAGGGCCTGTATATTCAATCCAGAATGATCTCTGCTGAATACGTGAAGGGATTATTTTTAATGTTTGGCTGAAAACATGGACCCTCCGTTTTCCTGAGTCAGCTGCCAAAAATATGGCAAAATGCTAAGCTAATCTGCTGAGGACCAGTGAAGATTCTGGCCAGGTGCCAGACTATAATAACTTAGGCAAAAATTAAACAGGAGAACGGGTTCTGGAAACAACTGCACCCACAGACACCTCGACCCCTGGGAGTAGATTTGAAGTCTGAATGGTGATAGTAAAAATAAATAACCCTTCTCTGGATCTCACTGTTCCAACAACCGCATGAGGGGGAACTATTGCTATCCCCATTTCACAGGTGAGAAGGAAGCACAGAGAGGCTAAGTGATTGCCCTGGGTCACACAGCTAGTAATGGCGAGGTGATGAAGGCCAGAAGCCCCGGTGTGTTGTCTGCACGATCTTGGACAAGTCTTGCGACCTCCCTCACCCTTGGTTTCCTGTCTCTAACCTGAATACCTCCAGCATAAAGTCCCACACAACACGTTTTCATTGTGCTCCACAGGGGCACTGAACAGGTGTGTTCTAAAACGAAATCCCAAGAGTAAGACATCCCGAGGTGCTCCCAAGTGGCCCACAGTAGCAGGCCTCTGGCTGTGTCCCTAGCACCTCCCAACAGCCAGATGATCCTGTGGTACGGCCCCCCCGGACAAGAACAGGGGTGCTTACCGGGGCTTCGGCCGGGCCTCTTCTTCTGCGGGAACGTCTGAGACCCCGGAAGGGCAGGTGGCGCCGGCAAGGCCTGCGCGCTGGACTCGAGGGGCTGGGCCTGGAAGCATGGGGACTTGGGGGGCCGTGGGGGTGGGACTTCACCGCTGTTGTTAGCGCCCGGCAAAGGGGGCGCAGGCAGAGAGGCTCTGGGGGTGCGTGGGGCGTAAGAGGGGAGCGGGGGCGGTGGGGGCGGCGGGAGCGGAGGGGCTGGAGGCTCCGGCACATCTTGGGCAGGGCTGGGAGCGTCCGCACTGAGCCCAGGGTACCCGCAAGGTGGGAGAAGAGGCAGCGGGGGCGGGATGGGCGGTAGGTGCAAGCGGGCTAGCTGAGGCCTCACCGCCTTGTCACTGGGAGCCAAGGCCGGGGGCAGCGGGGGTGGAGGCGGCGGTGCACAGGGCGGAGGGGGTGCGAGCACCGGGGCGCTCCCCTTGGTCGGTGGGCCAGGTGGGGACACCAGCGGGGCTTTGGCGGGGGAGGACGGGGGCAGGGCCGGGGGTAAGGGCGGGGGAGGTGGGGCGGGCATGCTGGGGCGAGGAGGGACCGTCCCGGCCACGCCATGCGCCTCGGAGGCGTCGCCTAGCCTGGGAGATGCAGGGGGGTTGAACGGGCCGCTGATAGTTTTGGTGGGAAGCCGGGGAGAAGGCGCTCGGGAGCCAGGGCCCTGCCCTGTCTTGCCGCCTGAAAGTGAAAGGAGTTGTGAGCTAGCTCAGTGGGTAGAATTGGGAGAAACGCAAGGTGTGGGCGGCAGTGACGGACGCTGTCCAGCACGTCAGTGAACCGCCTGGTGGATGCTCTCTTCCCGAGGGCCCAGTGGAGGCCCTCAGATGCAGCAGCTATCACACAAGAGGGCCAGCTGGACCAGCCCCAGGTCCTTGCCAGAATAAACGCGCTGTCCCCCTCCTGCCAGAGAAGCCCAGCTCAAGCCACCAGGTTGTCGGCTGCGTGGCGCCAGCCTTCCTGTTCCATTCTGCCTCCACTCTCATCTGTCCAGGGCTCCATGCTCCCAGCCCAGGACGCAGGACTGCCCGACCTCCTTCACCCTTCCTCATCTCAAGGCCACCGGCACACTCACCCCGTTACCCACTAGGCCAGTCAGCCCACATCTGCGGGTGTACCACCCAAAAGCTCCTGACGAGGGAGGTTTTCCCCACTCCCAGCATTTTGTGAACAAGGACTTTGTTTCTGCATCGAGAGCAGAAGATTCAAGGTTCCCTGAATGGACGAGGTGATTTGGAAGTCAGTGGGAAGACACCCTGCCTTGGGGATCCAGCTCCAATGACCTTGAACCTTCCAGTTCCATGCACTCTGGAAGTTCAAAGCTCCCTTTCCCAAAGACTTGTGCCCATTTCTAAGGGGCTCTCTGTCTCCTGGTCACCTGGCTTCCTCACCCCATAGATCCTTTACCACATCAACTCCAACCTGAAATCCGATGCCTCTTGAACTCAACAGCAACAACGACTTGCTCACAGTAAGCATTTGTGTTTGGTGGACATTATGGGCGACTGGGGTGGAGGGTGCTCCCCGGTTGGGGCCTCCTCACTCTTTGCACACCTTTTCACCAAACTGCCACTTCTTACCCTTTTTTCCCCTGTGTCGCTCTGAGGAGAAAAAAGTTCCTCTCCCTGTTTACTGCACAGAAGTTCCGCGATCGGTTAAAAATGTCCTTGGAGGATCCACCCTCCACTCAGGAGGCATATTAAGACATTTCTTCTGAATAAATACACTGCTCTTCCTAAAAGGAATTTTGGAGAATACATGTTTCCTATTCCAGCACCCCTATATTTTATAATCTCCATGAAAACATGTGGAAAACACTTGAAAAAAATGTTTGCTTCTCACACCTCCAACTTCCCGGTGCTGCAGAATAGGAAACACAGCTTTCATGTCAGATTATAATGCCAGCAGCTGTTGATGGTTCTGAGCTTTTCAGCCCGTGAGTCTCCAGTGTGTTTACCCAATCAGGTGCTAAATCATGCCTAAAAGTACTTGACGCCGCAAGTCAGGCCAATCAAGGCAAGATACGGAAGAGGCGATCCTGGGGCTGAAACTAAGTGAGCAGGACCGCGGTATCTGGCTTTCCAAACAGATGACCCTCCTCTGGCTATGATGTGACAGCCACCTGGACAACACGACTCAGGACAAGTCTCAACTGTGGAACGCTGTTCTTGAGGCGGGGTGGTGGTATCATTATTCTCTGTTGCAATCTTCTTTGAGGTGGTCGTGGAGGAGATAGTGTCTTTGCACCTATGCATCCACCCTGGCGGACTTGGCGCCGCCGGAGGTCTAAGGCGGGCATTTCCAGAACGGCTGACTGACCATGACCAGGAGTGGAAGGTCCCGACCTGGCCTTTCCAGGGACAGGATCTACCACCTGCAACTCCAACGTGAGACATTTTATATAGGTGTCAGCCTCAGGGATTCCTGCATCCAAGGTCTCAAACCTGTTTCCATAGTACACAGAGAAGAAGATGGAGGACCCAGACTGCTCAAGGCAAGGCCTCCCTCTGTGCCCATCTGCCAGATGAACTTTAAAAGGATAACAAGTTTGAGGAACAGAATCAACCCCTTAAGTGTCTGGGAACACCACGTATCCAAGATTCCAAAACCTTTTAAGTGGCCAACCTAATGAGAAATGGGAAAAGCCATTTTTTTTTTTATCATAATGTGAGCAGCAGAAACAAGGACAGCACAAATCCTTGCCCAGCTTATGTTCATGCCCATTCCAGGATGAAGCAGAGAGCTGGGCAGCACGAATTGAAGGTGAGACCCACGGGAATCAGCATCAGTGCAGGTGAGGAAACCGGGCAGCAGAGAGGGCTCCAAGAGTTAGCAAGAACCAAGGGAAGGAAGGAAGGAGGCTTTCCTTCAGAACATGAACGCTAGCCCTAGAAATCCAATTAGAAAAACAAGAGGAGACCATGAAGCGGGTGGGGAAAGACCAGCTCAAGAGCATCAAGGGGGCTTCACTGATGTGAAAGGAATCAGCTTTTAGAGGCTGGGGTTTATCAAAAGATGAACTATGGCTTCCTCTTTCCATCTGTCTATGTTTCCAAGAGAACTTGGATTGCATGGAAGTCTCATTACACATTCTATACAAGCCAGTGACGTTTACTCATCATATCTTATTTTAACGATCCCTCCCTCGGAGCTCTAAGCCAGGGCCACATTATGACTTTCAAAGACCCTGGGCGCTTTTGCCTCTGTGGGCCCCTTCCTCCTTAAAAAATGTTTTTAAAATTATGTTTCCTGACTGCTTTGGTATAAAGACAAATATAATCTTTGACCCTAAAAGTTCACGTATTTTAAATTTTAAAAGAAATTCAAACATTTTCATGGGCCGCTAAAAGTATTGTGAGCACTAGATACTGATTTCTGGGCCTGATGGCTCTAAGCAACCACACTACCCACTCACGCATTCCACTCAACAAATACTTACTGAGCACCCACTACGCACCAGGCACTTGTAAGGCAGTGAACACAACACAGCTCCTGCCTTCATGGAGCTTACATTTAGAGGGAGAAGACAGAAAATAAAGAAAGAAACCAGTTAATAAATAATATGTCAGATGCTGATAACTATAAGAAAAATAAATCAAGGTAGAGGGAATACAGAATGAGAGGGCGGGACTCATATTTTATCAATATATGAGACGATGAGTAAAAGCCTCCCTGATAGGTTGATCAGCTGCCACTTGAGCAGAGACTTGAAGGAAGGGAGACTGGGCCATGTGGACACCTTAGGAAGAGTGTTTCAGGCCATAGGAGCGGTCAGTGCAAAGGCCCTGTGGTAGCAGCATGCCTGGCATGTGCAAGAACAGCAAGGAGGGTGGTAGCAAAGAAGATGAGACAGGTAGCAAGGGCCGAAGCCCTTTTCTCTGAATGACAAAGGGGTCAATAGGAGAGTTCTGAGAGAGGAGAGCCACGGTCTGTCTTACTCTGACATGGCACCCAGCCCGTGTATCTACCTATTGGCTTGTCCTTGAGTTTCCATCCTGGAACAGGCATAATTAGTCACTTCATTATGGTCTTTGTTGCCTCCAAAAAGGTCAATTCTTGTCTTTCACCTAGTGGCTCAAACATCTGGCACTTGTGTCCTATTGGAGACAAGTTAGAACACTGCTGACTCCCTTTGGCTGGCCCCTGTTAAAAGCTCACTGGCGGTTATCTTTCCTATCTTTATTTGTGTGAAGAGAGACCAGTGGAAGTTTTATACCCCCGAGGACTTTTTTTTGGATCCAACTCAGGAATCTTGAAAAAGAAGCGGGCACTGAGGAATGCCAGCTCTCTTTATTCAGGAGGACTTCAGCACCTTTTTATCTGCCAAAGTCTCAGCAAAGATGAGGAAATGAAATGGCTTCGAAGGTTCAAACTGACTTTATCAGTAAGTGACGGCAGCAAATGCACCCTGGAACATCTAACAGCCACAGAGGCCATTGAAGAGGTTAGAGAAGTCACATGGTAGAAGACTCTAGACCAGGAACGTTTGGGGCTTGATATTCCCTAGACAAATGAAATTCTTGGATTTTGTTATATCTTTCTGACTAAAGAGCACAGTAATAGGAAAAACACTTTTTTTTTGCACATAATAATTATATATTTGCCCGATTTTAATTCAGTGCTTTCAAAACATCTGGTACCTGTTAAAACACAAATGACTGTGGTAGACTGGTTGCAAAAATGGTCTCAATTAACCACGCATTCCTGATTCCACAGTCTTGGAAATGCGATTTTGCAGTTCCTTTCATCAGAGTTGAAGTCTCTTGCCCACCCTTGTCTCTGAGCTGGCCTGCGACTTGCTTCGGGCGACAGGCTGTGGTAGGAAGTGATGCTTTGCCAGTTCCAAGACTAAGCCAGGACTTCCCTGGTAGCGCAGTGGTTAAGAATCTGCCTGCCAATGCAGGGGACATGGGTTCGAGCCCTGGTCCGGGAAGATCCCACATGCCACGGAGCAACTAAGCCCACGTGCCACAACTACTGAGCCTGTGCTCTAGAGCCTGCAAGCCACAGCTACTGAGCCCGTATGCCCCAACTACTGAAGCCCGCGTGCCTAGAGCCCGTGCTCCACAACAAGAGAAGCCACTGCAGTGAGAAGCCTGCGCACCACAATGAAGAGTAGCCCCTGCTCGCCGCAACTAGAGGAAGCCTGTGCGCATCAAGGAAGACCCAACACAACCAAAAATAAATAAAGAAAATAAATAAATTTATTAAAAAAAAAAAAAGACTAAGCCTCAAGAGGCTTTATATACTCTGTCCTCTCCATCCTGCCATCACCATGAAGACAAACCTAAATAGTCTGCTAGATCCTGAGAGACCAGAGGGATCAGTCAGGCCAGTTGTCCCAGCAGGGGCAACAGAGACATAAGAAATATACGATTAGCAAAGCCACTGACGCAACCTGTAGATGCTAGCTGTGGCCCAGCTGAGGCCACCCTAATTGCCAACCCACCGAGCTGTAAGCTAAATAAATGGTTATTCAAAGCCCCTCAGGTTTAGGGTTTGTTACACAGCAACACCTAACAGATACAATGCTGGAGAACCATCACAACTCACCATTGCCAGCGAGTCCACAGTGATGTCACTAAGATCTTCTATTGTGATTTACATCCGTACTTTGCAGTGTGGGCCACGATCTCACCGTTGCTAAAGACTCTACACTATGGCAACTCATTCTTCAGTGATTACAGTGGGATGATTTAAACAGGATGAAGATTTCAAAGATCCCTTAAAAACAATTCTGTGTTTTGGAAACTTCCAGTGCTCAGGCTTCCAAATATGTGATCTCCTACCATATAACTGTTTACTCTCAACATGTCACTTACTGGCAGGTGAGGATTGTCCTGTTGGTTCTACAAGGTAAGGAGACAAGGGTCACAGAGTAGCCAGTCGGAACTCTTCCTTACCTGCTGCATCCCTCTGGCCTGCTGGTCGTAACACTGGAAAGCCACCAGCAAACAGATCTCCCAGGGCTGGGGGCATGCTCCCGCCTCGAGAGTTTGCAGGACCTCCTCCTTCTTTGTTGGTTCCTTTAGAACCTTTAGAGAGAAGAGGCGAGTAGATGAGGACCTGTGAGCAGAGCTGAGTGGCCAACTCTCACCCCGACTGTGGTCTAACACTGCCTGTGGCAGCCATCCTGTTCTCACCACCAGTGTTACCCTTCTACCCAGTACCTTTCTCAAGAACCCCCTGCCTTGATACCCTATAGACTCATGTGCCCAGGCCTGTCTGCCACCCTCTCCAAGCTACCAAAGAACCATCAGTAGTGACCACTCTGAAAAGGGATAAAAAAAAAAAAAAAGCATCCTTATACTGCCATTTAGTAGATGCCAATGGGGGAACTGGTAGTACCTTTCAAATTAGAAAACCCAGACGCTGTATGTATAGAGCTGATCCCATTTTCACTTGACTGCTTTTGTGGGAGGCCTAGACCAAGAAAACCCACAGATTTAATTCAGGCAGTAATTTTAACTTCTTGTCTACAGAGCCTGGCCCAGGACTTGCAAGCAGGAAGTGAAGGTCTGCAGTGATTTTTGCTTTGGCATTTTCCTTCTCTGTCTCCCCAGCTCCCACTCCCCACGCCCCATGTTCTTCCCTGCACCGGTTCTTTTTCTATGGAAGAGAAAGCTCATGAGCCCCTGAGGAGAGGTGTCACTAATTCCAGCCTTCCAGATGTATGTGATTACATAAAATGAGAAGACAGCTTACAAGAATTCCTGGCAGAAAATGTTCACAGCCTGAAGCTAATATGCACAGAGAAATCAGGGCACAGTGCCCACTCGTGGATGAATGTGGCCAGATTATTCCAAGTATTAACATTATACATCACCTCTTCACTAGAATGATAAAGAAATGAGTGTTCCAATAAAATGGATTTATCTGTTAATTGGGCTTAACTAATTAGATGGTGGGTCTAGCCAGAAACTAATTTTTATTATAATCAATGTTGAAAATATGTCTTAAAATAATTTGTCTATCCATGTGCATTAACATATATAATTACAGATATTAGATACAATTATATCTTAGGACTATCTTTGAGAATTACCATCAGGTATCATAGCAAAATATATGGAGACATAATAATACCTTACATTGAAAAATATTTCCACATACATTATTTCAGCCTTCAACAATCTTGACAAAAAAAGAGAGCAGGTATTACTATCTCCCCATTTTGCAGATGAGCAAGCTGAGCCTCAGAGAGCTTCCCTGATTTGCCCAGTAGCAGAATCAGAACTCAACATGGTCATCTGACCCAAGCACAGGGCTCCTTTTACACCATCATGCTCTAGAAGTCACAGAAACATACAGTCATATGATCCTGTGAGAGAATTCAGCAGAAATATTTTTCCTTGTGAAAAACAAAAACTTTGCCAGGCTCTGTGGACATCTGTGTGCATTTGTTAATGTTGAGACTTGAATTTTTCTCTCATTCAATTTGAGGACCATGTTGACACAGGGTAAATGATCTTAAAATGTTGTCTCACGGTGGATAAACACAAAGTGGTACATCCATACAATCAACTCTTCTTCAACAATAAAAAGGAGTAAAGTACTGATACATTCTATAGCATGGATGAGCTTTGAAAACATTATGGGAAGTAGAAGGAGCCAGTCACAAAAGGCCACGTATCATAAGATTCCATTTGTATGAAATATGCAGAAGAGGCAAATCCATAGTGACAGAAAGTAGACTTAGTGGTTGCCAGGGATTCGGGGAGATAGAGGGACTAGGGAGGGATTGCTAATAGGTATGGGTTTCCCTTTGGGGTGGTGGAAATGTTCTGGAACTAGACAGGGGTGATGGATGCAACAACATTCTGAATATATATGGATAAATGCCACTGAATTGGACACTTTAAAATGGTTAAAATGGTGAGTTTTATATTATGTGTATTTTATCACAACTAAAAAATTATCTTACCATGAAGTTTTTTTTTTAAGCATTTGAAAAGTGATGGTAGACATGCTATACACCCTCTGCAGACCTGGAAGGGTAGCTCTGATTCTCTCGCCCATGTGAATTGTACACTGAGCAGGTCTGAGATGGCCTGATGTGTGTCCTGGGTAGCATTTGTGGCTCCTGCCCTGAGCAAGCCAGGCGTGTCTGGCTGAGCCTCACATGGCCTGCCCTTGGCTCTCAGCCGCCCTGGCCCACATGCTCACTTACTCTCGATTTGCGGGGCACTGCGGTCATTGATCTGCGTGACTTTTCGTAGGCGAGTTCCTTGCTGGATATCAGCCAACAGTGCACTCCGACCTTTGGGATCTGTCTTTCTCAAGCTGGAAGCATCTGTACTTACCTGTAAAGGATTAAGAGGGATCTGATTATAATCATAACATTTGCAGACATTTGCAAGACAAGCCGTATGTCCTATTCGAGGTAAGTTTCTCCTCCCATACTTTTCTGCCTTTCCTGTTTGCCCTCCCCTGCACCACTCCCAAGGCCCATCTCACCAATGCAGTTACCTATGGGTCTCAGGTTTTGAGGGAAACTTACCTCCTGCCCTGCTCACATCCCTCTCCTGGGGGACCTAGAACGGACTCTTTCTTGTGATCAAACTCCCATAAGTCTTAAGGAGCCCTAATGCAAAGCCCCTCTTTCTCCTCCTAGGTGGGCCCCACCCACTTATCTGGGCTTCTGTCTGTGTGTTCCTGACTCCAGCTTCCAGGTTCTGAATAATTACGCTGCCTGGTGTCCCCAGGTCCCTCCCGGACCAAATCCAGAAAGAAAGAAGTACAGGGGATTGCAATGAAGGTTTAGTGACTGCCTTCTCTTCTGTGTCTGGGTGCGTTATGTTAATCCTCACAAAACCTTGTGAGTTTCAAGGGAGTTTGCCCTCATTTTACAGATGAGAAAACAGACTATGAAATCTCTTCAAGGTCACAGGGCTAGCTTCAAACCCAGATCTGCTGAATTCCAAAGGCCACGTGCTTTTTATTTTGAAGCATTACAGCCATCAAGGGCATGGTGCTGTGGTTAGCATACTTGTTCTCTAGACTGCTAAAATGCTTTGTAAATATGTTCACGAGAACCTTTGTCCTATCTCTGCAAGTAGCACCGAGGTCCAGCTGTTTCACTTCCACTATAGCTTGTGCTGACACGGCAGGGTCTCCATGGGCTATTAGAGCTAGGGAGCACCAGAAAGAACATACACTGGTTGGTGGCAAATAAGGGAAGGGTGTGGTCGCACTGGAAGACACAGCCAGGAGGACCCCCTGCAGTTAGTAGTACTATACCACGTGACCTGAGAGCTGATTAAACATTTCTCGAAGTAAGAAGTACTTTTTAGTACATGGGGAATATACCATGTCTTTGGTTTTCATCTTAAACATTTCCACTTCGGTGGTGTTTTCTGACCCCCAACATAAATAAGGCCACCCAGGGTTCTCTCTTATGGCACTATATTCTTTTTTCCTCTGTAAGTTTTATCACAGTGTATATATTTATATTTATCTTTCCTTGTGGAAAATTTCCAGTTGTGGGTATGAGTTGAAGGTTCACCACTCCCACGGGCAGGAAAGAGATCTTGTTCGTTTTGTTCACCAGTACATCTCCAGAGAGTAAAACTTGGCCCCAGATAGTCTCAAAAGCTATTTATTGTATGAATGAATGAGTGAATGAATGAATGAGTATGAATGACTAGACCCAGGATACACTGGCCTTGCCCTCAAGGGCATATGCATCTACCAGGGAGACAGGACACCCATGCAAGGAGTTAAGCCACCATACAACGCAGCATATGACTGAGCGCCCATGTGAGTCTCACAGAGAGGAAGACCCCGAGAGTTCAGGCTGCAAGGAAGACAGGAGACCTTACTTAGATGGTCCTTGAAGGACAGATAGGATTTACAAGCTCTTGCTATAGCCATTTTCTCCATACGGCCATTTGTCAGAAAAGGACAAACCAGGTTTGCCAACTAGACAGTCAGAGACTCTCCAGTGTCACAGACTGGAAATGAAGGCAATTGTGGTTTTAGCTAAAAGGTGCTGGGTCCACATTTTAACCGGCCGACTCTACTGCACTGGTGATGCATCTTACACAGGTTTTGTAGGGCATAAGCTTCAAAGTGAGTTTCTTGTTGCCTGGAAACATGCTTTTTGACCCCTTGAGAGGGGCTCACAGATGATGGTCAATAACACAGCTATAAGCCAGGGGCCCCAACCCTAACGATATATGTTTTTTAGGAATGTATGTATGAATGCACATGTACAGCGGGGTATTTTCCACACAATATGATTTTTTAAATCTCTCTCTATAAACAATTAGCCAGTAAGTCATTTTAAACTGCAAAATTTAAAGATTTTTAAAGTCTCCTCTCATATTTACAAATAATTAGTAATAAGAATAAAGGGCTAACAGAAATACCATGACCCTAGCCAAGAGACTATGAAAATTTTTGTAAAAATGTGGCATTATAATCTCAGGCATGTATTACGGTCAGGGATTAGGGGGTGAAAGTGCTTTGTAATTTTCTTCCTAGTTACAAGAAAAACAACACAATGAATTGCATTCTTCTGTTTAAAGAAGCAACTGGAACCCTATCTCTAACAACCCCTGAGTAGGGGTGGTGGTGTTCATCTCATCTACTTTAGATTTTTAAATTTATTACCAAAATGCACCCCCCCACTCCCTGACCTCGTCCATCCCAAGCTTTTTAGGTGAGGGCTATGAAGAACATTGTGTATCCTTGGAATAATGATTTTAATTTGAGTTCCTACTTAGCACAAGCCTCAATACCCTCCTGACAATTCCACATGACAGACTTGTTGATAAAAATCTTCCAAATCAGCAGGAGGATATGGCAAGTCCCATCATGTTTATGTTTTGCAGTTCAACTCGCTGGACTAAATTTAACATTCCTTCTTTGACTTCTCTGCTTTTTTTCCTGTGCCACTGTCTGCCCTGATGATTTTCCACCAGAGGGCTCTCCCTCACCTGATATTAGTATGGTATCCTTCAGTTCTCTCCTGTGAGGTAGGAAAGAGCGAATAACTTCATGGCTAAGGGGACTACAGCTTAATTGGTTTTGTACAAAAGGACATCTAAGGACATATTCATTTGCACATTGAAGACCATAGTTACCGTGACAGTTGTTTCTACTCCACCTTCAATATTTATTAACAATTCATCCGTAATTTGCTTTCTTAAAAATCTACAAGCCTAAGAAGTCTTGTTACCATGGTTACAGTATACAGAAACAGGAAAGAGAAGATTTTCAAATATTCACTGGGTCTTTTATTCTATGTAAATCTTGATTATTGGCAACTTCACTAAAGATATAATCGAGAGAGACAGTCACTCCTGAACACTTTTCCCATGGCAAATATATCCACCAAACACACGTCCCCGTCCCCCTATGTACAAAACAAAAAACTAAAACATCATTTCGAAGTTTGCTCCTGTTCTTTCTTAACATTGTTATCGAGTGTGACAATTTGCTGAGTTCCACACAAAGCTTTTGTTGACTCGGTTCTTCTAAAACAAGCTTCCAGTGGAACAGCCTGGATCCTAAAAAGAGGCAAAATAGTAGAAGAGTAATGCAAATTAGCCCATCGCCGGCCAAATACAGGCTGAAAAACGGAAGTGAACCAGGAATATTAGAAACAGTGCTAACTGGGCCAAGGGTGATGAGGTGTCTGTCCTCCTGTCTTGATAAATTATAAAAGCTCTGGCATATCCATGTGTCGTTCCAACAAATGAGTTGATCGGGTTTCAGTACAGTTTGGGGGAGGGGGACGGCAGTCCAGCCCAAATGGAATGAAATGCACGTCCTCCTGCTATTTAGTGACCCTGCCACCCTATGCCATTACTACATCTGTCTGATTGATCCTGGTTTCTGTGAGAAACCCTCATCAAAATCTAGGGGTTTGATGCAAATCTAGCAGGTCGTTTGTCTCAAAGATGATCTAAACCCAATCATTCCAGTACAATGCCAGCCTTGCAGTCTCCCAAAGGGACTTTCTCCAATGTGGCTGTTCAACCTCAAATTAGTACTCAGGTTTCCAGGTACACAGCCTGCTCATTAGCCCAGCCCTCAGCTTCCTCCAAACTTGGGGGCAGACAGGTATCAGTCACCAGGGTACTTGCATTTCTTTACTAAATCTGAATCCCAAGGACAGCCAGAACTGGCACTACCTTCCTCTGGCTGCTACCGTCTTTATGTAGGAGAAGAGAGAGCCTGAGATCCAAGAGAGACAGGAAATATTTTCAAAGAAAATGAACTTTCCCCTGGCATCACTTTGGTTACCATATGCTGGCATCTACCTCCTTGCCCAAGGACCTGGAGGCCAACTCAGACCCTTCCCTGTTGCTTGTTCTCAACAGCCACTCCATCACAAACTCCTGTTGATTTTTCCTGAGTGATTACTCTAGAATCTGGCTCCTTTTCTCCATCTCTGTGATGCTGACTTAATGCAGGCCACCAGCACTTCTGGATTCCCTCACCTGGTCTTCCTGCCTCCTGTCTCATCCTCTTCCACACAGCCATCAGAGTGATCAGTATAAGGGACATGTCACTTACCATGTCCCTCCCCTCCATAAAAATCTCTGCTGGTGCCCCACTGCCCTCAGGATCAAGTTCAGGTCCCGTCATGTTGCACAAGGCCCTTAGTGACCAGCCCAGACCTTCCACTTCTTGAGCCTTCCAGGCTGGAGCTCACCTCTGGACCTTAGCTTGAGCTAATCTCTCTGCTCTTTTCACACTTGTCTCTTGGCTATTTTCCAGGAGGCCTCCTGATCCTGGAAGGCCAGATAAAGAGCCCTTTTTTGTTCCTAGAACAACATGCTTACCCTTAGTAGTGCCCCTGCCACCCGGATCAAGTGACTCTGCTCAAAACCTGCAATGGTTTTCCATTTCCCTCGTCAAAGTCCTCATTAATATCACCTGCTGGGCTTGACTATTTCTGCATTCTACCCTGAGTTTACCTATAAATGCCAACATTTTTCTACCCACACCAGTGTAATAAAGCAGTTCCACTGTAGAGCAATGCCTCCCTACCTACAGCTGTACTTCCAATCCTGTACTCATGCTTCTGCCTCTTCTGGGAATACTCCTGCTGCCCCAGCCCTGCTGTACCTGCCCAAACTTTTTCTTCTCCTTTAAGCTCTACACCAAAAACAGTTTTCTATACAAGATCTTTTTTGAAAAACTTCTTCAACTAGCCTTTTCTTTATATGATCCACACAAAGCCCCTCCAAAGCACATCATTTGTAATTCTCTATAGCACTACTCATATCTTGCCAAATATTATCGCTTTTACATATTGCTTTTCCTCTGATTTTTGAGTGGTAACTCTTAG